AAAAATCATTGTTCAGAGGAAATTGAAAAGAAAAGCTTGATGATTTTGTATTAACAAGGCAGTTTAATGTAGCTGGTAGGTAAAAGCAACACCCCTCCTTACCAGCTGTTCTGGAAGACTTTAAAGTTTGAACTGAGAAGAAACCAAGTTGTTTTTAGTTCCCTGGCAGTAGTGAGATCCAGGCTACCATGTGTCAGTGCTTCACTTCCTACCCTGGCAGATCTAACTGTGGTTTGCAACACTCCTAGAAATGCACTGCCCCGAACATAGCTGAGGGATTACACATCATTTTCTGTTAAAGGTTTGGCCATCAGTTTATTTAACTCATTTAATTTCCTCATATTTGCATCTATTAGGAACTTATTTTCACATAGGCTGGCTTGCTTTTGTCTCAGTTTGGATTTGTTCCTTTCTTTCCTCTTTCTCTCTGTGTTCTACACTGTCAGGATGATTTGCAGTTCCATTGTCCCACTCTCACCAGCATTTTCCCATCATCTTTCAGGCACCTGCCTTCCCCTTGCATTAAACTCAACTATCCACTGCAAGGCTGGGAGTAAATAAATGTAGCAGTCAAGGGCCTTTCACTATTTGCACTAAGAATCTGTTTGCCTGGTGTTTTCTTGCACAGAGAAATCAGGGCTTTGTCCTGCTCTTCCCAGTCCTGTTTGCCTAGAACTGCTGGTAAAACCTCACAGGAAAAAGGTGCTCTCAATAAACATGGCTCTCAGACCCACTTCTTTCCCCTGGGAGGTGACATGTCCAGCTCCAGCAGACACCTGGGAGAGGACCATACCTCCTAAGGAAAATCAAGCATTTTGGTTAGCAAAGCTGGCTGCTCCCGGGTCTTGCTCTCTCAGTCCCCAGGAAAGCTGTGTGCTGGCTGGGAAGCCAGTCACCTAAGCCATGGAGAACATATTGGGAGGGAGCTGAATGATCAGATCAACATCCACTGGGCATTTGCACATCTAAGCGTGCACCTCCCTGTTTCCCTCCTCCTAGGAAATTTGGCAAGCAGGAAACAGCCCTGGCTCTAGGCGGACATGAAAGCCTCTGGGAGTGGGAGGGAAGTCATAATCTGCCCTTTTCTCGTACCCTCTCTAACACCAACCTTGTGGCAATGGGATGAAGCAGGCATTCCCCCCCAAGAAGGGGGAAATAGGTGCTGTGGGAGCATGGGGACAACCCACCCAGCCCCTTGGCAGCCTCCCTCTCTCTTGAGGGAACCTTGAGTTTCTGCAGATATCTCTGTGGCCCCCCAGGCGCAGATGAGAGCTGAATCTGAGAGGGAGCTCACCCTACGAATACAACAGAAAAGCTCCCCTTGGAAGTGGCTGCCGGGGACACCACTCCTCCCTCTCCGCCCATGCTATGTATCCATGGGGACAGGGGACTCATCCTGCCGGGGCAAACCCCAACGAGGCAGCTCCACGCCGGGACGAGCCATTTGGGACACGTGTAGCCAAAACCAAGGAGAGCTCCCAGCAAAGTCTCACTAGAGATCACTGGGCATCTCTGGATATGGATGCGGTTTCCTTTGGAACAGCCTCGCTGGAAGTTGCTGTCTTCGCCTGCGCTCGCCGGGAGCGACTCCCGGTCCCTCTGCGGGAGGGGAAGTTCAGCATGAGCAAACACTCGCTTCCTCACGAGCCTTCTTTTTGTTTCCTCCCAGCGAAGGGCTGAGTGCTTTGTTCTGTGGTTCTAGGAAGGATTTAACTCCACTGCGGTTTAGCACACTGTAAATGACTCGGCTCCCTCGCCCTCCCTCTCGCATGAGCCGCGGGCGAGGGGCCGGGGAGCGGCTGGGGAGTGAGGGGGGATCGGGGGAGAGGGATGTGTTTTAAACGTTTTAAACTCAGAAGCGGCATTTTTTTCCCCCTCAGGAGGCGTGTCTAGCACGTAGATCTATAAAGAGGAGAGCCGGTAATGACGGATGTTCTGTCAAACTTAAAAGGTGCCAATTACCACGGAGTCACCGGGTGCCATCAAGATGTATCTGCCGAGCTTGATTAAGAGCCGGGCTCAGGAAGGCAGCGCTGCTCACACGCGTGGCGGTGGCTGGGGGGAATCTCCGCTCTCCCCGGGCGGGAGGCACACAGGGCACGGCGGAGGAGAGGGTCGCACGCCAGGGGTTCTCAGGACCGGGCTTTTATTTCCTTGGGAGATCACGGCGCGGGGGTGTGCTTGCGAGGAAGCGAGGTGCTCCCCGCTCGGGCGAGCTGGCAGGGCGGAGGATGTCCCTCCAGCGGTCCGTGGCGACCGCACGGCGCTGAGCAGCGTGGCACTGGGGAGCCCCCTGCAGCTGGGAGAGCCGGCTCCGAGCTGCCTCCTGCCTTCACTCCAGCTGGAAGCGATCCCCGGACCGCTGTCCTTTTCTGCAGTGCAGGGAGGCAGGCTGGGGAGACCCCAAGGCTGCCGGGGTCATCCCAGGGCAGGGATGCCAGCCGCTCCCTGCTCGCCGCTGTGGGAAGGGCTGACTCGCGCTCGCAGCCGCTGAACTCTAATTAAATCTCCAGAAAATCAACGTGCACAATCAAACACTCGCTGGGAGTAATGATAATAATAAGGGGAAGAAGAAGCAGGCGTTGTGACTTTTGAGGCTGCTGATCATCCTGATTAATGAATGTTAAAGTGTGTTAAGTGCCAAGGTCTGAGAGACAAGCCGTGGGAGGTGCAGGGGCGGCCGGGGCTGAGGCTCTGTCTGGCAAAGGAAGGGACACCCAGGCTGTGAAGGTGGCTGTCCCCTGCTCTGACACTTGAAGTGAAGCGAGCAATCAATCCCATGGGGCTGTGGCATGCTTATGGCATGCTTCCAGCCTCCCAATATCAAATATTGTCTGAGTTGCCTGGATAGGTGTCTTCCAACTCTGCTGTGAAGTCCAGGCAAAATTTTCTGTGAAAGCTGAGAAAAAGGGCAGAAGTCAGGTCCCAGGTGACTTGATTTTCCTGAAGAGCTACAAGTAATGCAGCCCTTAAATCATGCGAAAGTGCTTTCAGGTAGAGAAACACAGCCTTGTGTAACACTAAAGGACAAGTACCTCCAAAATTCAAAGCTTCCCACCTCCAAATTAGCTGGTGGTAAGGAACATAAAATATCATTTAGCTCCAACCCCACTGCCAGAGGCAGGGACATCTTCCCCTAGATCAGGTTTCCCAAAGCCCCATCCAGCCTGGCTTTGAACACTTCCAGGCAATAGCCCTACCCTGAAGGCACATCACCCTCTTTGGGGTAAATCCACCCCTAAGAGTCTTCCAGAAGCAACAGCTACATATACGTCAGTTGTGTAGCCAGCTCTCTTCCTGCAGCAATCTCAGGCCAAGACATATTTGGAGTAGAGGCTGAAATGAAGTGGAGGCGAGTGGTTGGGCTGTGGCTCCTTCAGCCTTTCAAGACAAGAGATGGGGCAGGGCAGGCAGCAGCCAAAAGCCTGGATTGCCTTCATAAAGTCCACTTCTCTTTTCTGCACTTAGCACTTTCCCCCTGCTATTCTTTGGACAATAGATGAGATGTATTCCACTCTCCTGCTTCCCCCTCTGACAGACCTATCCCAAGGGAAAAAGCAAACTTCAGACCACAAATCAGTTCTGGTCCAGGAGAGAGGCAAATAAAAACAAAAACCTAAAGATTTTTATATCTAGATTACATCCATAGAACTGGTAAGTTTCCTTAAACAAAGTGAACACTTCTTAGCCTAGTTAGTTAAAGAGGAATTCTTTACAGGCTACAAAATTCTTTAACCCTACAAGAGTTAACTCTTGTTCTCAGAAAGTATCTGTTTTCCCTAATTTATCTGTCATTGTGCAAAGGAAGCCTTTCCCCATGAAAATTTCAGAACAATAATCAAGTTTAAGAAACTGAACTGGATTTAGTGTAACAACATTTTTCAACAATGTGTGGAGCCTCTGATGACTGCAATAATCTAAAAGCAAGATCTCGTTCACTCTTTCTCCTCCCATACATTGCTTTTACACTTACAGCTATAAAGGGTTTGGAAAAAAAAAAAAAAAAAAAAAGAAAGAAAAAAACCACTCTAAAAGCAAGATCTCGTTCACTCTTTCTCCTCCCATACATTGCTTTTACACTTACAGCTATCAAGGATTTGGGAAAAAAAAAAAAAAAAAAAAAAAAGAAAGAAAAAACCACCAGAAATAAAGAGGACAGGATTGCACGGAAAGATGGGGAGAAGGTAATTGAAAAAAAAAAAAACCAACAGAAAAACCCAACCAAAAAAAAAAAAAGTAGTTCTGATGTGCAAATTGTAGATAAAGACTTGTGATGAGAAAGAGGGGAGTGCCTGATGAGGAAGACGGGAGAGTGTGTTGAGAGATAACAAGAACCAGTAATTTCTATTCAGCAAAGCCACCAAATCAGAGAGCAGTGCGATCTTATTGGAGGAGAGCCTTCAACGGCAACTAATCCTGTCATATTGAAAGAAAATTGTAAATGTTCTCTGCAGAAATTGCCTTCCCATTGCAGCTAATCGAGCCCACTTGGCGCTCACACACATCACACACCCCTGCACACCCCTCCGGGCGGTCAGCGAGCGGACCCACAGCCGCAGCACCCGACAAGGACATTCACCCGAGATGCTCACCTAGGCACCCTGCTTCCCTCGCTCGCCACCAGCCCAGCGAGAGCGGCAGCTTACCCTCATTTCCCCACCAGCTCTGGGGGAAGTGCAAATTATTACCGGCTCACTCACGAGTCCCGGCTTCACCTGTTTTTAATTACTCCAGTTTTGTCTAAACCTTTAAGTCAGGTTCGATAGCACTATTGCTCTGTTTTCTTTTTAATTTTTTTTTTTTAAGCTCAGCTTGGCTGAACTGAAGCAGCGACTCCCGAGGGTGTGTGTGTATATGTGTGTGCCTGTGGGTGTGGGAGGGCGAGAGGGAGCGAGAGACAAAAACTCCATCAGCCCGGACAATGCCACCTCTTGTTTAGAGCTTCCAACCTGTTATTCTTTCCCCCCACTATCACGGTACCAAGTGATCTGTATTTCCCCCAGCCCAACCCCCCTCCCTCCTCGTGGAAGATATGGAAGAGGAAGATAAAGCCGCTGGCTGCGGGCGCTGACGGCGCGCAGCCCGCATGCCTCTGCCGCCACAGCCGCCGCTCCAGCGAGCCGCTTGCAGCGGGATGAGATGCAACTTCTGCTAATTGGATCACAGGTAGGAAAGCTTTGCCTTTTACTGACGTTTCCTCTCTCTCTTTCTCTCCTCTTTTTTTTCCCCCTTTTTTCTTTCCATCTTCTTTTTTTTGTCCTTTTTTTTTTTTTCTCTTGGCTTTTCTTTCACGTCCTCTACCCTCCGCCCCTTCTTCGCTGCACCTAGGATTTCATCCGCTGCTGTCATAGGAAAGCTCCCGCCAAGGAAATAATGTCTAAGAAACGAGCTTTTGCTTCCTGGCAGAAGAAGCAGAACAGACCATAGGGAAACTTTTGCTGAATGGGTCACAGCTGAGCGGGCCACCGGTGAGAGGCAGCGAGAGGAGATTAGGCAAAGCGATTGTCCCCAACACAGAGCCCTTCTCTGTCGCCTTTCAGTTGCGATATTAATCCCAGAACCGAGCCTATCATGGTAGAGCGGGAGAGACACAGTAGCCTGATTTAGAGAAACCTTCACATTTTTCAAGCGCTGTACACAGAGGGTTTTATTACAAAAGCTACATTCCGACACAGGTTCATCCCCCGGGCTACCGTTCCCAAATCTCGCTGTGACATGTTTGTCGACGACTCCTGCAAAATGTCACCGGCAGCGGGGAGCGGAGCCTGCCCGCGGTGCGCGCTCGCTGTCGGGCGGGCGGGAAGGGATCCCGGCCCTGCGGGACCAGGAGGGATGCGGGGTACCGGGGAGGGAGCGCCGCCGTGCCGGCGCGGTCCCTCGGCCCCAGAATGCCTGCTGTGCCCGGGAGCAGCTCCTGCTCCCGCTGCCTCTGCCTCGTCTCTCACGTCCTGCTCGGGGAGGGGAGCGCGGGCTCGGGGCGCCGCCGGAGGTGGGAAGGGTCTGGGCTTTCCCGGCTCATTTCCGGCCCGCTTCCCCGCATCCTTGCCCTGGGCTCTTCTCCCCGGAGCAGGAAGCAGGGTGCTGCGGAAAAGGATGCTCCGGGGCCGGGTCCGGCTCGTCCCTCTGCCCCGGTAGGGCTGAATCGGTCCCGGCCGTGCCTCCGGGTTCCCTTTCCTTTCGCCCATGCCGCCACCATGGGGTGCTTAGGGCCACAAGGAGCGAGCTGACACTTTGAGAGGGAGCTCAGATCAAGCTGTGGGAGAAAAATTACCTCCCAGAAACAGCGCTGGCGTATCGAGGTCCTGATGCAGCCCCACAGCAAGGCTGTATCCGGGGCTCTGAAGGGACAAAGTGCTTTCTGATTCTTCTCAGGCAAAAGCCGATTCTGACCATCCCTCCAGCTAGGGCACTTCTCCTGGCTTTGCGCCTTCCCACCAGCCTGCCCCGTGGCAGGCTTGGCGGCTGCCCCAACACCAGGGTGATGGGGGAAGGCAGGCTGGAAACTCCTCTGCTCGTCCCCTGCATGGCACCGAGCCGGAGGGCCCTGATGCCAGGTGCTCCTGGAGAATGGCTGTGTCTGCTGCCAGCTCTGAGGGCTGGTAACTCATCCCCACCGGCCCATGGGTGAGCCCTAACCCCTTCACTGGGTGAAGAACAAGGGACGCTTCTTCCCACCCCTGTAAGATTGTTTATTATTACGATTTTGATTTGCTAAAGTTCCTCCCAGGTCAAGGAGATGACTTTATTTCCAGCTGGAAATTCTTGTTGCAAATCTAGCCAGAATGACATCTATTCCCACGTTTATGTATCAACCAGTGTGTTGGCACACACTGGCTTGTTCTTGTCCCTTAAGGAAGATATTCTCTTTGCAGAAAGAAAAAGGCAAGGACAAAAAAAGAAGGTCTAACCTCTGCTTGACAGCCTGTTCATGCAGCTATCTGGAGGGCAAAGAAAATCCACAAAGTATAAAAAAGGTGTGGAAGTAAGGAAGGAAGGAAGTAAAAAAGGAAGGTTAATACAGGAGAGCAGAAGTATGAATGCTGTCTGCCTTTATGGTATTGCATCACTTGCAATCACAACCCCTGTCTGAATACACAGCAGCTTTGATTGTGTGGTTTATAACACCAGCCGCTCTCGGTGATTCATCTGTAAACCTCTCTAAGCTACACAGAATACACTTCCTCTTTCCTTTAGAATCTCTTGGAGTGTAAGTTTGGTTGAACTTCCCCTCTGCAGGAACCTGGACTGTTTGCTTTTGCACCAGGAGAGTGAGAAGTGCAGTAATCTCACTGGTTTGTTGTGCCCCACTGAGTTGCCCCCTCCATTCCCTCCCTCAGCACTCTGATTTCTGCATTGTAGTCCCTTGGGAACAGGGCACAGTATATGGGGAAGGGAGGGTGTCTAGGATGTCCCCAACTTGTTTTGGATGGAAGGCAAAATTATGAAAAGGAGAGGTCATTTCTTTCTCCCATCCATGCCAAAATCCCATCCAGGATTTTGAGTGGTATCCTCAATGCAAATGGTTGTAACTCTGCATCTGGGCAGAGCTCAGGGAGACCTGGACCATGTGTGATCAAGAATGTCCTAAGGAGATGGAAGGCACTGTGCTCTGTCATCACCCAGGATGGAGGCACAGACACTGAAAGGAGAAAACTGAGGCCATCAGTTAAAAACAGAATCTATAAATAAAACTTTTTTTCTTCCTAGGTGTTCAGCCCAGTGCCCACTGCCACTTTGGTTGTCACCTCTGGGCTGAATACCTGTGTGTGTGTCATGGTTCTCAGCTACTCAAAATGCTTGGCTCTTTCAGCCCATTTGGTGTCTCATTCAAAAGTCTTTTGAGGACACCTACTATGAAAACCCTCACTGCTGTTAATATAATCCCAGGAGGTTGCTCTGTTGCACTTCACTCCTGTAACCCACTCACCCATTCACCCAGCTTTCTCTTCTCCACTAATATCATGACCTACATGCAAAGGACTTATTTTCTGGTCCCGTTTCCATAGCAATGCAGCATGGGGAACTCAGACAAACCAGTAGTAATGAAGCCAATTCCTCTTCTGTGAAATCAAGACCTCTTTGAAAGTTGAGTTCAGTTTAAGGCAAAGTCGGAAGCCGTGGAGAGTTTTATTTCAATCCCAGAGCCCAGATCTCCGCGCCCTCTAGTGCCAGAGGTAGGCGAGGAAGAGCATCCCCGGGACACACACAATGTCCCAGGAATGTGAGGCATCATAGCCAACAACAGCACAGGGAGACAAGCAAGTAGTATGCGAAAAGGGCATTCTTCCATTCTTCCAGCGTCTGTTGCCAATCAGATCTTCCCCCTTCTAAATCCTAAACTGAAAAAATGACAGATAGTGTTCAGCTGATTCAGCTGATCCTGGTTTGGTCACTCAGATATTATGGCTTGGGTGGGTTAAACTGTGGAATAAAAAGTGGGAAGGAAGTGAAGCTGGGAAGCTCAGACTAAGTCTGACCATCTTTTCCGGAAATTTTGGATCTCTCCGGCTTTGAGCTTTGCAGCTTGAAGCAACTCTCAGCTAATTCTGAGAGATTTGGAGGCACAGAAGAGGATTACTCACTTGTGAAACTGCTGCCATGACCTGGCTGTTTAGGTGGGTGGATGGGATAGGCAACAGTAATCAGGCTAGGGGAAGCTGAAGGGGTTTAGATGCAGCTCATATGAATGATAGGGATAACTTTTCCACAAATGCTTGTAGCCTTAAATCTTAAAAAGCTTAAAATTTATGCTGTTATTTAATGTATGGTAGCATTAAATTGTGTGATAACTTTCCAAGCCCTGTTAAACCCATCTTAGAGATTCCCATCTCTAAGAACCAGGCTGCAGAACAAGCCAAGCACTGAGAGCTCCTGTAGCTAAATGAGACTCCACACACACCACCTACCCCTCTTTTCCAGTTTCTATATTTTGGCAAAGGTAGCTTTCAGTTTTGCCAGGGTCTCCACAGCTTTTCCTGTGTCAGAGCTGCCCAAAAAATACAGTTCCCTACTTGCTTGTCCACATCCCACCAGCTGACTGCCAAACACCTGTGCCTAGCAGATTGCATTCCCTCGCTCTCCATATTTAATCAAGGAGGGATCCCTTGCTGAATTATCTCACCACCTTCCTTCACTTTCCTGATTGAAGTGAGCAGAATTAAGAGTTGAGACCACTCCTGAAGTTGCATTAAAGGGCTGCTTCCTTTTCCTATACACAGTGAGCTTGCTGCTATGTAAAAATTCTTTAGGCTGTGGACTGCCTGTTGTTTTGGACTGCCTATCCTACCTTATAGTCTATATTATTACCTATGTCTAACACCATCTATTCCCTATAGAAAGGGCTATATATCAGCAGGTCTCCCAAAAAATAATTTCATATAACAAAATTTGTAGTTCCAGGAGGATAGGATAGGGTGAAGTGAGTTTCATTTAATTTCCATCAAGCACTTCCTAGAGAATGCTTGTCAATGCCACTAAGACGTGCAATGGGATTTCAGTAGTCCACGTGCTTCATGTATTTGTTTTTAAGGATATGATACAGATTAAATGAAACCACATTTAAGGCCAGCTGTTTTGCTGAGTCTTCTGCATGTTTTCTGCTTGACAAGATGATTCTTTGGTTCCCGTCATTCCAGTATTTCTTGAGACTACATGGGCTAGATTTTGATCTTAATTACATTCTTTCAAATCAGGGGGGCCTCCAGTGATTTTAATTGCGTCTGGTTTATTCTGGTGCAATTGAACTGAGAATTTGACTTTACAGAAACATAGCAAGTATTGTAATTAGAATATGCCAGTGTTTTGACAACTGTTTATGGAACAGCTCTGTTTCATCATGCTCTGGTGAAAGGGAAATGCAATGTGATAATGGGCACTGGGAATAGCACGGGGCACCTCTAGCAGTGATGGCAATAAAGATCTCTGTGAGAAGCCACAACAAAAATAGGCGAGAAATTCTGTAAATCCACATTTCCCAGGGTTTCCCTCAAGCTCTTAGAAAAGCTCTGAGTAAACTGTGGGCATGCGTGGGTTTTCTTAGTTTTTTGGTTTCTTGTGTTTTACGGTTTGGTGTTTGGTTTTGTTTGGGGTATTTTGGCTTTTTTTGAGAGAGATATAATGAGACAAAAATATCTCCATAGGTCTTTCTTCTGAATCATTGTCAAAAT